AGTGCCCCATCATTGGTGTCGGTGGGGGGAGTAGTGCCCCATCATTGGTGTCGGTGGGGGGAGTAGTGCCCCATCATTGGTGTCGGTGGGGGGAGTAGTGCCCCATCATTGGTGTCGGTGGGGGGAGTAGTGCCCCATCATTGGTGTCGGTGGGGGGAGTAGTGCCCCATCATTGGTGTCGGTGGGGGGAGTAGTGCCCCATCATTGGTGTCGGTGGGGGGGAGTAGTGCCCCATCATTGGTGTCGGTGGGGGGAGTAGTGCCCCATCATTGGTGTCGGTGGGGGGAGTAGTGCCCCATCATTGGTGTCGGTGGGGGGAGTAGTGCCCCATCATTGGTGTCGGTGGGGGGAGAGTAGTGCCCCATCATTGGTGTCGGTGGGGGGAGTAGTGCCCCATCATTGGTGTCGGTGGGGGGAGTAGTGCCCCATCATTGGTGTCGGTGGGGGGAGTAGTGCCCCATCATTGGTGTCGGTGGGGGGAGTAGTGCCCCATCATTGGTGTCGGTGGGGGGAGTAGTGCCCCATCATTGGTGTCGGTGGGGGGAGTAGTGCCCCATCATTGGTGTCGGTGGGGGGAGTAGTGCCCCATCATTGGTGTCGGTGGGGGGAGTAGTGCCCCATCATTGGTGTCGGTGGGGGGAGTAGTGCCCCATCATTGGTGTCGGTGGGGGGAGTAGTGCCCCATCATTGGTGTCGGTGGGGGGAGTAGTGCCCCATCATTGGTGTCGGTGGGGGGAGTAGTGCCCCATCATTGGTGTCGGTGGGGGGAGTAGTGCCCCATCATTGGTGTCGGTGGGGGGAGTAGTGCCCCATCATTGGTGTCGGTGGGGGGAGTAGTGCCCCATCATTGGTGTCGGTGGGGGGAGTAGTGCCCCATCATTGGTGTCGGTGGGGGGAGTAGTGCCCCATCATTGGTGTCGGTGGGGGGAGTAGTGCCCCATCATTGGTGTCGGTGGGGGGAGTAGTGCCCCATCATTGGTGTCGGTGGGGGGAGTAGTGCCCCATCATTGGTGTCGGTGGGGGGAGTAGTGCCCCATCATTGGTGTCGGTGGGGGGGTAGTGCCCCATCATTGGTGTCGGTGGGGGGAGTAGTGCCCCATCATTGGTGTCGGTGGGGGGAGTAGTGCCCCATCATTGGTGTCGGTGGGGGGAGTAGTGCCCCATCATTGGTGTCGGTGGGGGGAGTAGTGCCCCATCATTGGTGTCGGTGGGGGGAGTAGTGCCCCATCATTGGTGTCGGGGGGGGGAGTAGTGCCCCATCATTGGTGTCGGTGGGGGGAGTAGTGCCCCATCATTGGTGTCGGTGGGGGGAGTAGTGCCCCATCATTGGTGTCGGTGGGGGGAGTAGTGCCCCATCATTGGTGTCGGTGGGGGGAGTAGTGCCCCATCATTGGTGTCGGTGGGGGGAGTAGTGCCCCATCATTGGTGTCGGTGGGGGGAGTAGTAGTGCCCCATCATTGGTGTCGGTGGGGGGAGTAGTGCCCCCATCATTGGTGTCGGTGGGGGGAGTAGTGCCCCATCATTGGTGTCGGTGGGGGGAGTAGTGCCCCATCATTGGTGTCGGTGGGGGGAGTAGTGCCCCATCATTGGTGTCGGTGGGGGGAGTAGTGCCCCATCATTGGTGTCGGTGGGGGGAGTAGTGCCCCATCATTGGTGTCGGTGGGGGGGGAGTAGTGCCCCATCATTGGTGTCGGTGGGGGGAGTAGTGCCCCATCATTGGTGTCGGTGGGGGGAGTAGTGCCCCATCATTGGTGTCGGGGGGGGTAGGTGCCCCATCATTGGTGTCGGTGGGGGGAGTAGTGCCCCATCATTGGTGTCGGTGGGGGGGGGGAGTAGTGCCCCATCATTGGTGTCAGTGTGGGGAGGGGAGAATAGTGCCCCATCGTTGGTGTCAGGGGGGGGAGGAATAGTGCCCCATCGTTGGTGTCAGTGGGGGGAGGAATAGTGCCCCATCGTTGGTGTCAGTGGGGGGAGGAATAGTGCCCCATCGTTGGTATTAGTGACAGCCTGGGCTCGCTCTCTCACTTACCTGTCAGCTGTCTTCCTTCTCTGGCCTCTCTCCTCTTCACTCGCTCCGGCAGCTCCCTCGATCTTCTTCAATCTGCGCGCTCTGCCGCCGCTCGGCTCCTCCTCTCCAAGCTCCACCTCCTCGCCGGTGTGATTGGCCGCCTGTGTGTGCCTCTCCTGAGCTACAGTTCCGGTGGCCAATCAGCGGCGAGGAGGCGGAGCTGCTGAGCGATCCCGGAGGTGTGGCCAGGTGACAGGAGCAGCGTATCATCCCGCCCACACATCGCCGGAGAGAGGAGCGGTGTCTCGGTTCCTAAGACCATCGGAAATATGTGTTTTCCGATGGTCTTAGGCGACCCCTGGGAAATGGTCGTTCGACCGCCAAAGGGGTCGCGACCCCCCCAGGTTGAGAACCGCTGGTCTACATGAAGCTTTTAGAACTAGCAAAGAATTGTGCACAATGTGAAAGGCAAAGTTCGCCTTTGTAATTATTATTATTATTATACAGGATTTATATATTATTATTATACAGGATTTACTTATTATTATTATTATTATTATTATTATACGGGATTTATATATTATTATTATTATTATACGGGATTTATATATTATTATTATTATTATTATACGGGATTTATATATTATTATTATTATTATACAGGATTTATATATTATTATTATACAGGATTTATATATTATTATTATACAGGATTTATATATTATTATTATACAGGATTTATATATTATTATTATACAGGATTTATATGGCGCCAACTGTTCTCAGCGCTTTACAATATAACCGGAGACAATACAGCAACAATACAGTTCAATACAAGAGGGATAGGAGGGCCCTGATCCTGGGAGCTTACAATCTAGGATATAAATTGCCATGTTAACCACTCACCCTCCTGAGGATTTACCCCCCTTCCTTACCAGGCCATTTTTTTTTGCGGTACGGGGCTGTTACTTTCACCACTTCAAGTCTGACGCTTTCACCCCCTTCCTACCCCGGCCAATATTCAGCTTTCAGCGCTGTCACACTTTGAATTGCGCGGTCATGCAACACTGTACCCATATGAATTTTTTAGCATTTTTTTGAGACAGATTAAACTTTATTTTGGTGGTATTTATTCACCACTGGGATTTTTTTTTTTTTTGCTACGTAAATGAAAAAGTCCAAAAAATTTTGAAAAGTGTTTTTCTTATAAAAAGTTACAAATAAATAATCTTTCTTCATAAATCTTGGCCAAAATTTATTCAATTATCGTTTTAGTAAAAAACAAAAATAACCCAAATTAGTTTATAACCAAAAATTATAATTTTTCTAAATTTATTTTTTTACATTTGTATTTAATTTTTTATATTTTTTTTTTACATACTGTCACCCTAGCAGTACAATGTCACCATAGTGACACTGTACTACTTGTTGCGGGGGAGTGATGATTTTATTTATTTTTTTTCATTATTATTGCTTTTACACCCATAAAGGCATTCCTGCAGCCATTGAGAAATACTGTGTGAGCTGTGATTGGTCACACATGGTACAAGGCTGTTGTGAATAGCTCTGTACCATGTGACCTCTGTGATCATTCACAGATTTCACAAGTTGTAAGCAATGATGTCAGAAGTGACATTTTGCTTACTACTCTTCATGTGATCACTGATTGGCTAATCAGTGATCATATGATCGGGACCTCGCACAGAGGTCCCGTCTGACGATCGGTGTTTCACTGTGTCCTCCGGATTGCAGTGCTGCGCTCTCCTAAGAAGCGCGCGCAAACGGAGCGGGGAGGACGTTTATAAACGGCCACTCGCCCCTATACTGCTCCCGTCCGGCCGTTTATATGCCTGGGCCAGACGGGAAGTGGTAAAGTGACGATTGCGCGGTCATGCAACACTGTACAGAAATGAAGTGTTTTTTTTTTTTTCCCCCCACAAATAGACCTTTCTTTTGGTGGTATTTGATCATCTCTCGGCGAGGGGGCAGGGTTATTTTTGGCACCTGTATCGGTGATTATTTTCATATCGGCCGATAGGGGGTGTTTTCGGCCGAAAAGTTTCAGCCACCGAAATTTCGGTGCACCCCTATATATTTTATTTGTACACTCATTCACACATCTGACTAGGGCCATGGTGTGGTTTTCTTTGCTTCTCCACAGCATGATTAACCCAAGAACCGGTCTAATTGTATGAAAATTGTCAAACAACAAAGGTATTATTTGCCGTTACATAGATGCGTTTCGGTACGCGGGGTCATCATTGGTTTCCAGTCATTCACTTTTGCATCCGATTTTTCTTGTACGAGAATGGTACACCTTAAACAAAATCCGTTGGTTCTGTTTATTTTAGCATTTGTCCCTTTGGGGATTTTCATGCAACCAGTTGGAATCGGTTAGTAAAGTTGAAAGTAGTATATACACTGAAAGAAAATTGAACAATCAATCCTAATATGGAATTTTCTCGCTTTTTTTTTTTTTTTTATAGTACGTACCCAGCTTAAAGTGGTTGTAAAGGCTGAATGTACGAAGGTAAAAAACAAAATCCTTGTGCTGCTCCCCTAATATTCCCCTGAGCTGTGGGGGGCGGGGCTGAGCTGTAGCTGTGTCTCATATGGATGGATAGTGGGGCTCTGGAGCGAGCATGCCCCAATGCCCCCATAGCAAGCAGCTTACTGATGGGGGCCACTGCTCAAGGGGGAGCAGTCAGGAGCGCCAGCAGGGGACCCCAGAAGAGGATAATCAGGGCTGCTCTGTGCAATGGTTAAATATGACCTGTTTAAAAAAAAAACAAAAACATCACTTTTAACAGTATGTAACTGTAAGATGTGCACCTACATGCAAACATCCACGGTGCCTGTCATTGATTTGTACAGGCTTCTTGCCTGCCGATGATAACGGTGATCCCTTCGGCTCTGTGGCACTAGTTGACTGTGTAAATATTACCCTAGTATAAAGTGCCAGAGCCTTTTGGTCTAGTGTACCCCACTTAAAGCTGAGCTCCACCCAAAAGGGGAAGTTCCGCTTTAAGGACTGCTCCCCATTAAGGATTGGAACCTTTGGAGGGCGGGTACCCGAATTTGACAGGGAGCTGCTCCCACTTCTGGTCTGATTGCCTAGGCCAGGGGTAGGCAACCTGAGAGCTGCAGGACTACAAGTTCCATCATGCTGTAACTGTCGGTTTTGTAATCTTTGCAATGCCTCATGGGAAATGTAGTTCCACAACAGCTAGAGAGCTGCAGGTTGCCTACCCTTGGCCTAGGCGATCGGAAGTGGAAGGTGTCCTCTCTCTCCCCATAGTCTTTTGGGACACGTGACAGGTCCCACAAGACTACAGCACCATTCACGAAGCGCAGCGCTTCTCGCGCATGCTCAGTGGGTACCCGGCTATGAAGCCGCAAGCTGTCACAGCCGGGTGCCCACACTGAAGATGCCGGCCTCCTGGAATACAGGACGGCTGGTGAAACAGGTTGCGTGGACACACCGAGGGACAGGTAAGTGGCTGTTTTCTTAAAAGTCAGCAGCTACAGTTTTTGTAGCTGCTGACTTTTTTATTTTTTGACAGGCTGAGTGGAACTCCGCTTTAAGGGTTAGGGACTGATGTGAATGTACAATATATATATAAAGCGCATAAATTGAGACGTACCTGGAATAAATGTGTTGAACATTTGTATTTAAGCAGGCTTCTTCTCTGAATTGAAGTGAGCTTTAATTTGAAAGAAAACTGGTCATAATGGAGAATGCTGTTGGGTCCGCCATTTTGGAAATGTTAGAGCAGCCTTTCTCAACCTTTTCAACACAGAGGAACCCTTGAAATAACTTTCCAGTCTCAGGGTACCCTTGCTACAAATGACTATATTTACAACTCATGATACATTGGTATTTATTTTATTACAGGTACTTAGAGAGCACTGTCAATTTATGCAGCACTTTACATATATATTGTACATTCACATCAGTCCCTAACCCTCAAGGGGCGTACAATCTAAGGTCCCTAACTCACATTCATACATACACATACTAGGGACAATTTAGACAGGATCCAGTTATTATTATTTTGGTATGATGGTCGGTGGGAAAATTGCTCCTTACACTTGTGGTCACATGTAAGAATTCCTCCCTTACAGCCAAAAAGATCAATGGTGTCAGTGGGAGTGTTATCAGAGGCAGAAATTGCTCAAGGAAACCCTAGAAACCTCTGGGGGAACCCTAGGCTTCCATGGACCCTGGTTGAGAAACCCTATGCTAGATGCATGACTTGGCTTGTTGACCTTTACCCAACATTACTTTGAGCCACTGATCTGTAACAAGTGTGTTTATAAGGATCTTGTGACTTATTTCCCATTTACACGGCTTTTAAGAAAGTTTTGAAATCAAGGCAATAAGACAAACTTGGCAAAGGCAGCTTCGGTCTTTGTCTTGACACACTTTCTCTAAATTCTGCAAAACTGAACTGAAAATCAGCTTGCAGATAAACTTGCATGGAGCTTCCCCTGACAGCTGATCATGTGATCTGTGCTGTGGCATTATCCGTTTTGGTATATGCTGAAAGTGATGGGGGTTTAGTCATTTGCCCTCAAAGCTGACCCTCACTTTGCTAGTTTTTAGTGTGACCAGTGCTGTCTCATCAAGTCACCAGAAGGCATTCAGAAGCCATGAAAGTTTTTGGGCAGCACAGTGGCTAAATGGTTAGCACTTGCACCTGGCAGTACTAGGGTCATTGGTTTGAATCCCAACCACAGCACCACCTGGAGTTTGCATGTTCTTCCTGTGCCTGTGTGGGTTTCCTCCGGGTACTCCGGTTTCCTCTCACACTCCAAAGACATGCTGGTAGGTTAATTGGATCCTGTCTAAATTTTCCCTAGTATGTGTGTGTACGAATGTGAGTTAGGGACCTTAGATTGTACACCCCTTGAGGGTTAGGGACTAATGTGAATGTACAATATGTGAGTGTGTGTGTATATGTATATATATATACAGTCAGGTCCATAAATATTGGGACATCGACACAATTCTAACATTTTTTGGCTCTATACACCATCACAATGGATTTGAAATGAAACTAACAAGATGTGCTTTAACTAAAGACTGTCAGCTTTAATTTGAGGGTATTTACATCCAAATCAGGTGAACGGTGTAGGAATTACAACAGTTTGCATATGTGCCTCCCACTTGTTAAGGGACCAAAAGTAATGGGACAGAATAATAATCATAAATCAAACTTTCACTTTTTAATACTTGGTTGCAAATCCTTTGCAGTCAATTATAGCCTGAAGTGTGGAACGCATAGACATCCCCAGACGCTGGGTTTCATCCCTGGTAATGCTCTGCCAGGCCTCTACTGCAACTGTCTTCAGTTCCTGCTTGTTGTTGGGGCATTTTCCCTTCAGTTTTGTCTTCAGCAAGTGAAATGCTCAATCGGATTCAGGTCAGGTGATTGACTTGGCCATTGCATAACATTCCACTTCTTTCCTTAAAAAAACTCTTTGGTTGCTTTTGCAGTCTGCTTTGGGTCATTGTCCATCTGCACTGTGAAGCGTCCAATGAGTTCTGAAGCATTTGGCTGAATATGAGCAGATAATATTCCCGAAACACTTCAGAATTCATCCGGCTGCTTCTGTCAGCAGTCACATCATCAATAAATACAAGAGAAGCAGTTCCATTGGCAGCCATACATGCCCACGCCATGACACTACCACCACCATGCTTCACTGATGAGGTGGTATGCTTAGGATCATGAGCAGTTCCTTTCCTTCTCCATACTCTTCTCTTCCCATCACTCTGGTACAAGTTGATGTTGGTCTCATCTGTCCATAGGATGTTGTTCCAGAACTGTGAAGGATTTTTTAGATGTTGTTTGGCAAACTCTAATCTGGCCTTCCTGTTTTTGAGGCTCACCAATGGTTTACATCTTGTGGTGAACCCTCTGTATTCACTCTGGTGAAGTCTTCTCTTGATTGGTGACTTTGACACACATACACCTGCCTCCTGAAGAGTGATCTTGATCTGGCCAACTGTTGTGAAGGGTGTTTTCTTCATCAGGGAAAGAATTCTTCGGTCATCCACCACAGTTGTTTTCCGTGGTCTTCCGGGTCTTTTGGTGTTGCTGAGCTCACCGGTGCGTTCCTTCTTTTTAAGAATGTTCCAAACAGTTGTTTTGGCCACGCCTAATGTTTTTGCTATCTCTCTGATGGGTTTGTTTTGTTTTTTCAGCCTAATGATGGCTTGCTTCACTGATAGTGACAGCTCTTTGGATCTCATCTTGAGAGTTGACAGCAACAGATTCCAAATGCAAATAGCACACTTGAAATGAACTCTGGACCTTTTATCTGCTCATTGTAATTGGGATAATGAGGGAATAACACACACCTGGCCATGGAACAGCTGAGAAGCCAATTGTCCCATTACTTTTGGTCCCTTAACAAGTGGGAGGCACATATGCAAACTGTTGTAATTCCTACACCGTTCACCTGATTTGGATGTGAATACCCTCAAATTAAAGCTGACAGTCTTTAGTTAAATCACATCTTGTTCGTTTCATTTCAAATCCATTGTGGTGGTGTATAGAGCCAAAAATGTTAGAATTGAGTCGATGTCCCAATATTTATGGACCTGACTGTATATATAATACTGAGAGACAGAATAGCAACAAGAAATTCAGCAGAAATGCGTCTAACAAATGGTGACTGATCTGCATGTTGAAATAAGGAAAATAAGTATTTGATCCTCTTCACAAAACATGACTTAGTACTTGGTGGCAAATCCCTTGTTGGCAATCACAGAGGTCAGACGTTTCCTGGAGTTGGCCCTCAGGTTTGCACACATCTCAGGAGGGATTTTGGCCCATTCCTCTTGGCAGATCCTCTCCAAGTCATTAAGGTTTGGTGGCTGACGTTTGGCAACTTAAACTTTCAGCTCCCTCCACAGATTTTCAATCGGATTAAGGTCTGAAGACTGGCTAGGCCACTCCAGGACCTTAATGTGCTTCTTCTTGAGCCACTCCTTTGTTGCCTTGGCCGTGTGTTTTGGGTCATTGTCATGCTGGAACACCCATCCACCACCCATTTTCAATGCCCTGGCTGAGGGAAGAAGGTTCTCACCCAAGATTTGATGGTACATTGCCCTGTCCATCGTCCCTTTTATGCGGTGCAGTTGTCCTGTCTCCTTATCAGAAAAACACCCCCAAAGCAGAATGTTTCCACCACCATGTTTCACAGTTGAGATGGTGTTCTTGGGGTCATAGGCAGCATTCCTCCTCCTCCAAACACGGCGAGTTGAGTTGATGCCAAAGAGCTCGATTTTGGTCTCATCTGACCACAACACTTTCAGCCAGTCCTCCTCTGCATCATTCAGATGTTCAGTGGCAGACTTCAGACGGGCCTGGACATGTCCTTTCCTGAGCAGAGGGACCTTGCGGGCACTGCAGGATTTCAGTCCTTGTCGGCGTAGTGTGTTACCAATTGTTTTCTTGGTGACTGTGGTCCCAGCTGCCTGGAGATCTTTGACAAGATCCTCACATGTAGTTCTGGGATGATTCCTCACTGTTCTCATGATCATTGACACTCCACGAGGTGAGATCTTGCATGGTGCACCAGACCTAGGGAGACTGACACTTGTTTTGTGTTTCTTCCATTTGTTAATGATTGCACCAACTGTTGTCACCTTCTCACCAAGCTGCTTGGCCATAGTTTGGTAGCCCAGTCCAGCCTTGTGTAGGTCTACAATCTTGTCCCTGACATCCTTGGACAGCTCTTTGGTCTTTGCCATGGTGGAGAGTTTGGAATCTGATGGTTTGATTGCTCCTGTGGACAGGTGTCTTTTATACAGGTAACAAAATGAGATTAGCAGCACTCCCTTTAAGAGACTGCTTCTAATCTCAGCTTGTTACCTGTATGAAAGACACCTGGGAGCCTGAAATCCTGCTGAATGATAGGGGATCAAATACTTATTTTCCTCATGAACATGCAAATCAGTCATTTGTCAGACATGTGTTTCTTTACAATTTGTCTCTGTGTTACAATACACCGAACATTCGATTTTTAGACCGATCATTTCTTTGTGAGGGGCAAACATTCAACATCAGGAGAGCAAATAACTTCTTTCCTTCTCTCTCTCTCTCTCTCTCTCTCTCTCTCTCTGTGTCTGTCTGTAATTTTATTTATTTTAGTATGCGATTTTGTGGTTACAACCTGAAATAACCTGTCAGCACGAGAGCTCCAAATGATATATTTATTGGTGAAGATACAGCTGTATGAGAACACGCCCTCTGACCACCTAGTGCTTTGATTAAGTTGATCACAGCTCACATTTTTATAGGGTTTCTTTAGCACAGGCTACACCCATCATTACTTATCAGTTTACCAACACCTGTACAGTGGGGATCGAAAGTTTGGGCACCCCAGCTAAAAAGTTGTATTAATGTGCATAAAGAAGC